AGGCCAGAAGACCCTACAAGTAGGTAGGGTTCGAGGTCCCTTTCCGGAACCGAGGCTTACGCTATCCAAGGTGCTTCGGGAGCCTTTGCACCGGCTCCGGACTCGAAAGGCTTGGGTTTGAAGTAAATTGAGTTAGTGTTTGGGGTTTAGGGTTTGAGGTTCAGCAGCTCCGGATCGAGCAGTTTTACAATAAAGTTACATTCACGATTTGACAAAACACCCGCCCACTACAGCTAGACCCTAACAAGGAGAATATTGCAACTTTTGCGGTTAGATTCTTTAGTGGTTAGGGTTTAGGGTTAACCCTAAACCCTAAACACGTAGCGTCGTCTCATCGCAGTATACTTAGTAGGCTGAGTATCCGTAATAGGTTCGAAAGTTGTACTTGTTTTTCAGGGGCTACAGAGGAATAGAGTTTAATAGAATTGTTTATTTATGTATGAGGCTCCTCCACCTGTCATCAACGGTGCTCGGACGAGAGGACCGAGCGGATTTTAGACGAGTGATGAGTGATGAGCATCCAATCATGCTTCAGTGCGACCAAGCTTAAACCAACATGAAACTATATGATAAGATAATGCATCGTCAGCGCCAGATTGCCTAAACCCCAGTAGGCCAAACCCGGCGTTTGGGGGTTAGGGGTTAAGGAGTTTGAGGGCTAGATAGTCCGAAGTGTCAAACCCTGTCCATAGCATTCTATGCCTTCGCAAGACAGAACAGCGCCATGACTAGAACTTTACGGCCTGGAATGACTGCTGGTGCGAGTATGCTCAACTTGGTTCGAATCGTTGGTATAGGCCCAGTGTGGAACCCTAGGCCATGTCCCCCTCACCCTTGCTCCCAATCCCAACACAATTCGCGAGCATGCTTTTGCACAAACGCACCGCAAGCAAAATTCGACTCCACGAGACAGTGAGGCACAGGAGCACACTTGTTGGGATTATGTCAGGCCGGGTAAAGGTACGGCTATCTGCAGCATGCAGAGGGGTGTTCTTCTAACATCGCAGGCTCCGCCGGAATTCTGCCGAGCCGGCGATGGCGAAGAACAGTGAAGGTGTGCGCACACCGCGCATGCCGGGCGGGTTTTGTGGCGGTAAGGGATGCTGGCATAAGCCTACATGTGGCAGGCCCACATAGTGCTCGTGAGCATGCGGCTGTAGAGCAAGTCAACAAGCGTCTGCCGCGGTCCGAGGCCTCTCGCTCTCCGAGCTGCAGGGCCTCGACTACAACAAGGTCATGCGGATGCGCTGGGTGCTCACGCGGAAGAACAGGGGAACGGCAAAGGCACGCCTAGTGGTGTTAGGCTTCCAGCAGCACAACCTGACGTCAGTGCAGACGGCGGCTCCGACTTTGAGCAGGACAGGTCGCTACGTTGCTGGTGCAGACTTCTTCCACCCCAAATGAAAGTGTTTTGCGGATGTAGTCGGCCTTTCGAGCCGTGACTGGGTGCTGCTGAAGGAAATTGCGAACACCTGCCTCAATCGAAGGCCAGGATGTGTGTCATGCCAGCGAGAGCAGTGCAAAATGGAGCTTCCTGTGCCGGACCACTGCGTGCAACCTCTTGCACCTGGTGTGGCTTTCGCACTGGCAAACAAATCAATTCAAGGACATGGGCGTGGCATGAAAATCGAAGGCTGCTATGCGACCTCCTGAGAGCCTGGTAGATGGAAGCGGGTAGATAGGCTGGCTACGCAAAATTGATCAGCTGCGCATGCCCGCTCGTTCAGGGAGCCATCTTGAAAAGCATCGCGAAGCGGTTTGCAGCAATGCGGCAGGTGCTGCATGTGCTGCTGAAGAAGCTGCGACCATCGAGCACTGCAATATGGCGCATCCGCACTGGTTGCCAAGCAACTGCCTCCGACAATTTGCATGTCGGGTTGGGACTGCTCTTGCCAAGGATGCAGGCATCAGTCCTGCCCACGGTTGGCAAATCAGCAAATCAAACGATGGGGCTCTGGCAAAACCTCCTAACACGAGCATGGTACAGGGGTGGGTGGGTTAAGGCTGCTAGCAGTCGATGAGCTGGGCACAAAGCCGACTCCGAAAGCATCTTGCTGCATGTGCCGCTGATGAAGCTGCTACGACAAAGGCAGAGCCAAGCCGAGAGCGAGACCATTGCAACATGGAGCGTCCCAGGCTGTGCGAGCAACATCTTGCACCTCGTGCGGGCTTTGCACTGGCACAGGACGCAGGCACACGTGCGGCACTCAAATCACATGTGACGGATGGCACAGCTGCGAGGAGCACACCCACCCCGAGTACGGCAAACGGATTGTCAAGGCTAGTCGCTGAGCTGCACATACCCCGTCAACGTTTCGTGACAAAGACAACCATCTCGGAATGCCTTGCACAAATCCAGGATGCCGCCTTGCGTAGGGAGCTGCAAACGCTGCAACCAGGCTTTAGGAAGCGCTCCGAAACGGGAGCATCGTGCTCTGCCGGCCGAGGGCGAACAGCATCTTGCATTTTGGAAAGGCCTTGCCAAGTACAGCCCAGAGGGTGCATTGAAATCAAACGTCATGCAGTGCAACTGGGCCATCAGGTCTGATGATTCTACCATGCCGCATTTGCCCATCTGCGATATGCAACACTGAGCATGGTGCCACTGAGCTGAGAGATGCTGGGAGGTCTGAGCCAAGCCAGGCAGGAGAGCATCACGGGCGACATCGTCATTCAGTGTCATATGCTCCTCACTTGAGAGTTGCTTGTCCGTCCTGCCACAGGCCTTGTCGGAAACGATCAATGCCATGTGACAAGTGCATCAGGGAAAATCGACCCACGTCCTGCAGAAAGCAGGCTGCCTGGCATCCCCGCACATTACTCGAACGGGGACGACGGTCACAGACATCCAGCTTTGCAACGTGCAGCGTCCTCTGCTGGACAGCTGCATGTCGGGGGGAGTTTGTGCCGGCAAGGGATGACAGCATTAGCCCGCACGCACACTCAGCACGAGTACTTGAGGCGAATGAATGGTCAGCGTGCATCGTTGGGCTGTAAGAGCTGTAAGTGCCCTGTTCTGGCACAAACCAATCTCGGAAAGTATTGCGAACGCACAGGCATCAGCGATGCACTCGGAGCTGCTGAAGGTGCGCTTATCGAATGCATAATGGAAGTACTATCGGAGCGACAGCAGACAGATTATTGTGAGATTGCGCATCCGTTGTTAAGCAACGGTCTCCAACATTTTGCATTTCGGATCGGGGCAGCTCTTGCAAAGGATGCAGGCATGAGTCCTGTTCACATATGGCAAAGGCACTAAGTGCGACAGATGATGGCTCTCTGACGAAACCTGCTAGCGCGAGCATGGTACATGGGTTGGTTAAGCCTGGTCGATGAGCTGCGCCTGGAAACGAAAGCAGGGCCAAGCCAGCGAGAGCAATGCAACAGAGAGCGTCCCATACTGTGCGATTGCAAGCAACATCTTGCAAACCGATCGGGCATTGCAAAGGCAACGGAGGAAGGCAAACTTGCCTCACACGAATCAAATGCGGTAGGAATTCCGAATGTGCAACTTCCGGCAATGCTTGGCACGTGTGGGGTTGTCTCGGTCCTCGCACTTCTCCGCAGCTTCACTCCCACGGGAAGCTGTATGTGTTCCACATCCGCGTTACGTGACTTCTACTCTGGAAGGCTTGTGTGGCTGTGTTGTGCCGGCCTGGGCTGTACCTGCTGGCCAACAGCGCCACGCCCCCTTCTAGCGCTATCAACAAAGACGCCACTCTCATTCCCATCAGCGCTGGAGAGGTCCAGCTCCGATTTGGGGGTTGTGCACAAAGTGAGGATACGAGTCGCGACAAACTCTGCCGGCAACATTGAACTATGTGAAGCCCCACGCTGGCGGGCAGCTCTGCGACTCTGCTGTTCTCAATCTCAAAACGTGTTGCTCATGGGCTCTGCATGGTTCTGCGATGTGCCGTCAGTCAATGGGGAACACCGCAGGAGCTGTGCTAGCTGCGGCCACTTCGGAGTCCACACGAACACGGCTCTTGTGGCAGCATCCAGGCTGTACCGCACAGACTGCACCTACACCCTTCATTGCCATTCTCCGGCGTAGCAGATCTGCGAGGAACGGTGCCTTACTCCCAAATATTTGGAAATCAAGGTATGGATCTGTTTGGGACGCGCGACCCAAGGTACGTCCCTTGCTCGTCGGAATGTTGATCGCTTCCTTCCGCAAGCCTTGGTTGTGCTTCGAACTTTCAACTGGTATGTCTTCAAGCTGTGCCATGCTATGGTTCACAGCAAGCAATGCCGGCACCGCCACTTTGGACAGTGAATGAGTATCGATTCGAAAACTGATCGCATGCCGAAGTCACGAAGAAAGCAGAACATGCTTCATCTCTTATCTTAGCAATTCTGCTGCGTGCAAGTATGTGCGCACGAGATGTGCCGAGGATGGGTTTGGTGCCGACCATCATTGTTAAACATCGTGTCTCACGTGAGCTCCTCAAAGAACATCTTCAAACAAGAATTATCTTTGTTTCGCATGCTTCAAGTTCCCAAAGCTCATTCCATATTCGAGTGTCAAAGGTGCATAGGACTTGAACCATTATTTGGGTTGTGGGATGGTGGAGATAATTTAGCTGAATTCTCGCCATTTCTCGCCTCGCTGATCGATCAACATAAATGTGGCATTCCTTCACCATTCGAAAAAGACATTGACACAACCATTGTCGGCTGCTCGTTTCAGGTGCACTTGGCCAGCGGCTGGTGTGATAACACGAAAAGATTCATCTAAAGCCGCGCATTTACATTTTTGTGCATTCCACCAATCGTTCACTGCATCCTGTGTCTCAGCATTCTTCCCCTCCTCTCAGATTCTGAAAGAGCCTGCGCAGGCTTCCCCATGTCAATGTCGACTGGCCGTAGCTGCTAGTGGGGAGTTAGAGAGAAAGAGAGAGAGAGAGAGAGAGAGAGAGAGAGAGAGAGAGAGAGAGCGCGAGCGAGAGCGAGAGAGAAAGAGAGAGAGAGAAAGAGTGGCGGAGGTTGGTTTCATGTTGTCTTGTACTGCAACTTGTATTTACTCACCGTGCTCAAGCAGCTAGACACCAGATCTCAAGACACTTTTCCCGTACGCACTCGAATTCGTTGATTTCCAAACGATTTGCAAAGGAATGACAAAGCTGAGCAAAGCTGCGATGCCCGAGGTCCTCACGCAGTGCTGTGGGAGCAGTAGTGCCTGCTGCACCGCCAGCCAGCAGAGTCGGGAATCGGACCACCCTGACACACCGAGTGCTGTCTGGAGGTGGTCTATACTATATAATCTATATACTTTCTTCGTCTTGGACCTGGACTCTTGGAACTGTTGAAGACAACTAGCTCCTTGCCTGTGTTGGTCAGTGATCCCCAGTCAAAGACACAGGCAGGCGCCTGGAACTTCTGCTCCGGACTGAAGTCGTTGGCAGAACGTCAGCATCATCTGCCCCTGGAGAAAACAAGACTTGTTTCTGCTCAAGGCAGCAGGCAGACAGACACATGGCCTGAGGTTTTGATAAGCCCAGGATGTTCAAAAACAGCATCTGTACCAAAGTCAACAATAACCCTGCCTGCTGCCCTGCTGCCTGCTCCGTGGTAACCTGGCTGAGAAGGTTCTGCCAAACAATCGGCGCACTCTGACCTACCGAATCCGAGCCTAAACATGCTACTAACGACGAGCACTTCTTTTCCTCGTGTGGTATAAGCGCTGTAACACGCCGTTCGGCGACGAAACAAGCTTAAAAAGGCTAGCCGGCGTCGGAGCGCATTCTGCACCCGACCCCCTGCCGTTCGCCGTCCGCCGAAAAGGCACCCTTAGGGTGGAGTGGGTGGGATTAAAGCTGAAATCGGCGAGTCGGCCCAGAATGCTATCGGCGTTCGCCGTTGCCGATCGTTACTGCGTACACACGTGTACTACACAACAATCGGCGCACTCTGACCTACCGAATCCGAGCCGACGAGCACTTGTTTTCGTCGTCTGGTAAAAGCGCTGTAAGACGCCGTTCAGGCACGAAACTGGCTTAAACGGCTAGCCGGCGTCGGGGCGCATTCTGCACCCGCCGTGCGCACCGCCTACCCATCACGCGCCGGCTCAGTAGTGGAAGGCCTGCGCCGTCAGGAGCAACTCGTCGGCCGCCGAGGCGCCGAGGCAGTGGCAAACTCTATGTCCATGGCCGCTCCGGCGAAGATTCTCAGGATCTCGTCGTGGGGGCTGTGCACTCTGGTCCACATTTCCCGGCGGGCTCTCGAGAAGTCGTTCCTTGAAACTGCGTCGGCGATGTTTGCCTTAGACGGCACCCGCTCGAACTCGACGAACCAACGGCGAGGGACCAGAACGCCGAGATCATGCCATTGACCGCCGGGTCCTTCCCATATCCCTTCGCCAGAGCTGCCTGTCCCGCCGTGTTGTCGATGAAAGCAATGATCGACGGCGGCAGGTACTCGGCGAACGTAACGAAGGCGGCGAGCTGGGCGAAGACCTCCAGCATGTATATATGTATGCCTTCCTCGCCGCACAGATCTTGACGAACCAGTCCGGCACCACGCCGCGGTCGTAGAAGACCTGGTCGCCGATGCGCAGGACATAGCCCCATCCGTTCGAGGTCCGCTGTTCCGGCGTGGGGTTCAGCCCGTCCGGAACATGACCCGCCTTGCGCTTCCGCTCGCCCTCGCCGTCGGCGAAGAAGGCATCGGCGTTGAGGATGGCCAGGTCCATGTGCTCGGCGTCGAATGGGATGAACCTGGGCTTGATCGTCTGGAGGATGTGGCTCAGGGACCTGAGTGCGGCCCGGCGGTTCCGTTCTCGTCGACGTGGAAGTTGACCCCTGGGCAATGTGCTCAATCGCCGGCGATTGTGACTTCGACGCTTTGGTAAGGACCGGTAAGGATGCCCAGCTCGGCGAAGAGTTCCTGGAACGACGTGGCCGCCGAGTCCGCGAGCTCGTCGTCGTCGAGACCATTGAAGTCGTCCACGTAGTGACCCGTGGCTACAATCAACAGGCCCCGAAGTCGGCGCCTCGGTTAAAGTTCCACACTGATGCTGTGGCGCCGAAGTTCATGGCGAGGTCGCGAGGTGGCACCAAAAGGTGACGCCGTACCTGGTGCATGTGCAGAAAAGTGCCGCGCTCCGCCGGCCGCCGAACCGGCCACTGTCTGTAGGCGTTGAGCAGGTCGTGGCCGAAGACCGCCAATCGGCGAGACTCCTCACCTAGACTAGACGGGCCAGATCGACGAAGCTCCCGAAGTGGTGTGTCGGGACAGCGGCGACCCTGACCGAGCTGCGCCAGTCCTCCCCCGGCCGTACCTTCAACTCTCCGTTCTCGTCGGTCTGCCAGACGGGGAAGGACTAAGGACGCGGCGAGGAAGTGTTTGCTTGGCGGCGGCTCCACCAAGGTGTCCACGTCGAGGATGTCCGGCATCGCTGTGACCGTCATGTTGTGGAGCCACGGCGGTGGCCGGGTGGGCCCCACCACCCTGCCTAACCGCTTCTCGTCGATGAGCTCCTTCAGCAGCTGGTCGCTCGTCGGGCTTCCTCGACGCGAGCTTGGCCCTGACACAGTTGGCGTTGATCCGCCGCAACTCCTCCATGCTGCCGGCCTGCTCTCGCCGAGAATTGGGAGCCGTGTCTGGAGGCGAGGTCAGGATGCGCGTATGTGCGTCGGCGTGGAGTGCGTGGCCCTAATCCAGGACGGGCGAGCTTCCATCCACCAGCAGTCTCTCCCACGCACGCTCGCCATGGGGTGCTTCATCGTCGCGCCGACGCTGCGCGGTGGC